CATCAACCTACATCCGGTCATCAACCTACACCCGGCCATCAACCTACACTTGGCCATCAACCTACACCCGGCCATCAACCTACACCTTGCCATCAACACCAGGCCATCAGTCTCCCTGTTAAAAGAATTGTATTATGTGTCCAAAGTTCCCCTGATGCTTTTGTTGGCTGGCGTCTTATTCCTTTTAAGTTCATAAAGTCTTAGTGTAAATCTGGGGTGTATCTACAGCTGGAGGGGGTGCTGGTGTAAGTGGTAGTGTAGGCCAGTTTTTTTGGGCTGTCGTCGTCTCAAACCGCCGATGAATTTTCAAAGGTTCCTAAGTTGTTGTTTTTTCTCTCTTGGGAGTTACGAGAACGCATTTAGTTGATTAAGTTAAGTTTACTATTTTTTCTGAGTTAACTGAAAAGATGTGAACGCTACTAGATGCCTTCTGATTTTTAACTGAAGATATGTGAACTCTACCGGATGCTTTATATAGTTTAGTTAAGGTTCATGTCCACATTTACTGATATTTTGTGTCTTTACTTTTTCACCCATAACAGGAGAATCATTTTACCTGACTCGTGTAAACTAAGGTAAGAAATTCATGACGAGATTGGCGGCAAAAGTGCACTGAGACCTCTACTGCAATTAGTTGCTGAGAGGGGCTAGTGGGAGAGGTGAGTGGTAGGGGCGAGTGGGAGAGGCTATGATGGGAGGGTTGAGTGGGAGAGGCTATGATGGGAGGGGTGAGTGGGAGAGGCTATGATGGGAGGCGTGAGTGGGAGAGGCTATGATGGGAGGCGTGAGTGGGAGGCATGATGGGAGGGTGAGGGGAGGGCTATGATGGGAGGGTGAGTGGGAGAGCTATGATGGGAGGGGTGAGTGGGAGGCTGGGAGGGGTGAGTGGGAGAGGCTGTGATGGGAGGGATAAGTACATGAATGAATTGGTACAGGCGGGTGGGAGAGGATATGCGATGGGAGGAAAGATGTTATGGCGGTTGTACTGTATTGAGGAGTCCGCTATTGAGAGGGTTTGGTGTATAGGTGAACGGATAGTTAGAATGGGACGAAATGTGGGAGGGTTAGATGGATGAGATGCGTGAGATGGATTGATGGATGGGTGAGCAATTGGTTCTATCTTTTACTTTATATGTGTATGGGGTGAAGAGAGAGAGAGAGAGAGAGAGAGAGAGAGAGAGAGAGAGAGAGATTATGCACCATTACCTTGTTGAAATCTTTGTAGTAACTTCATTATATAACTCTGTAACTGAACTCCTGTACCTGAACTAATAACATATTGAAATACTGACATCACAGGTACGGCCAAGGTGAGATTTAGCGCCATGCCATGGTGTGTGTGTGTGTGTGTGTGTGACTGGCAGGCTCTGGTGATGTGAACCTCATTTAACACGGGCTTGATCCCTTCCTTATGAGGTTATAACGATTAGGTTTGCATTTAAGCATCTCTTAAACTCTCATGGTATTTAGGTTACAGTTTTTATCATTGTGCAAGTAAATTGTTATTATTTTTAATTTCCTGGTCCACTCTCACACACACACACACACACACACACACGCAAATAATAATAATAATAATAATAATAATAATAATAATAATAATAATAATGGTTGCCCCCCGTGTAACAAGGATGACCGGCCCAAGGGCCACCAAGGCGTGAATTTGTTTAAGGTGTAGAAGCTGTCACTAACACAATAACCACACCCTGAGTTAATGAACTGCATGACCCGGTGTCAAGGAGTAGTTCGAGAAGACCGGACAACTCGCCAGCTGCACTGGCTAACCATTACCCCGGAACACGATCCACAAATCGATTAACATCCAGGTCCCCAATTACTCCTGGGTAGACAGAGGCAAATGGTGTAAAGAAACTTGCCCATAGTTTCACCCTGCCCGGGTCCGCTCGCTTGCGAGGTGAGCATGGTGACCAGACACACACACACAAGAGCTAACGGCAACTATCTGTCCATTGAATGCACAAGCTTGGATTGGATCACCGATAAGGATAAAGAGAATACAACCTGTATAAAGTGATAGGCAAAAGACGATCAAATCTTGTACAATATACTTATAGGGAAAATAATAGTCAAGCGAATCCTGTATTGCAACTGACAAAAGATGATCGAATCCTATCCCTGTGTTTATAGTTAGTATTTTGATAGAGATCGTATTTTGTTTTGACCAAGATCTACAGGTGTCTGGAACTTATTGCCTTCGTGTGTTTGGTGTAGTGGTGTTGTCTTAATGTCTGTGAGGGTTTATGTAAGTTATTATTATTATTGTTATTATTATTATTATTATTATTATTATTATTATTATTATTATTATTATTATTATTATTATTATTATTATTATTATTATTATTGTTGTTATTCTCTTTATTATTATTACATTGTTATTATTATTATGGATGGTTGAGAATGGACGGTGGGTGGGTGGGTAATAGTGGGTGGTAAAAATGACTGGGTTGTGAGTGAAGAGTGGGTGGAGGGTGGAAGAAAGGTGACTGCAGGAAGTGTGGGTGGGTCTATATTGATTGTTACACTGAGTGGGTGGAGGCGGGCAGGCGGACGGGCTGGCGGGCGGGAGGGGGTGTTCGAAAACAGAGCGCTGCGTGGGTGGTGGTAAGTAAATACTATGTGGCATGGTAAGTGGGTGGAGTGTTCGAGGAATTTGAGGGTGGATGGAGAGTGGAGTGAAGTGGGTGGAGGTGGGCTATGTATTATTGAGACATTGCGAACCTCTGTGTGTGTGTGTGTGTGTGTGTGTGTGTCCCCAACAGGTAAGTACAGTAAGCCTACCTGTCCCACCGCCCGTAAAGAACTCATTAAGCTCAGGTCAGCCGCTGATGAAATACCTAACCTAGCCCTTCTATGTCCTGCCGGCATACTAATGACCTTATCAGTAACCCGGGTAGCTCGCCTCTCTAAAGTAACAGGAACATTGTAATCTTATTTACAACTTACCGAAAGACTTGTTTTGTGTGATCCTCATAAAGATTATCTAATTAAGTGATGAAATTTTAAATATTCGGCGGATTTGTATTGTTATCTTATTTCCGTCCGTCCGTCTGTCTCCGTCCGTCCATCCGTCTGTCTCCGTCCGTCCATCCGTCTGTCTCTCCGTCTACACTTATATCTGTTTGAATTTCGTGTCCGGAGTATCAACAGTTTTATGTATTTTAATAAATGTTTGTATATAATTTAATATAGTGTAAAATACGTCGTTCCCTTCCCTTAACAGGATTCTCGGTGTTATTTCCGTAGCGGAGGATGGGCATGACCACGGCCAGTGTTTCTCCTCAACAACCTCGCGATGACGATACTCAGAGGGATTCATGCAGTGTTCTTACATAAATACTGTCACACACACACACACACACACACACACACACACACACACACACACACACACACACACACTGCCTTTTGTGCCATTCCTTATCATAAAATAACATGAACGTGTAATAATTAAGGAGAGCGTATAACACTATTTATCGAAGCAGCAAAAAATATATAATCCACAAACAATAACAAAACAACAGTAAACAAACGGTGAGTCAACAACAGTCCATAACACACACACATACACACACACACACACACACACACACACACACACACACACACACACCAACAACAAAATATTAGGCGAACATGAGTTGAATTTTATGAAACCAGAAAAGGGAAAAAAATAATTACAGGAATCTGTTTAGGAAACCCAGACGACAATCACATAAGTTATATATAGTATCTCCTGTTATTAATCTTCTCAGTCCGTCGATTGGTCACTCATTGAGGATTTGTATTCATAGAACTGAATGACGCAGCTAAAATTTATGAAACTGCTTAGAAAAAAAAAGGAATTACGAATTTTTATCACGACAGCGTGTGAGGCCCCGACGGTGACCACGAGGGAGAGTGGCGGAGCAATCGTCCTCATCCTCTCACTGATACCTGAGGAAAAATGTCCGCTTAATTATGAACACGTCTGGTGAAATCTCTTCCTGGGTCGACCCCTTGGCTATGGAGACATCACCTGTCCTCTCCACCTGCGGCTTTACAGGTCCCTTTGGGCGTTGTCTGTCGCAGGTGTGAAAGACTTGTCGAATCCACCTGAGGCTCTACAGGTCCCAGTGGGTTATGCCTGTCGCAGGTGTGAAAGGCTTGTCAAGTCCTTCTGCGGCTCTACAGGTCCAGGTGGCCTCTGGCCGTTGCAAGTGTGAACGATCTGTCATATTCACCTGTGGCTCCACAGGTCCCCAGAGGCCACCTGTGCCATTCTCCTGGCACTTCACAAACGCCTCTGGGTCTCGTTTGTCGTGCATGTAGTGAACTTTTCTACACACCACAAGAGGCTCTACAGGTTCCTAAATACCTGTGTGCGTTGCAAGTGAGGACGATCACCCCCACCAGCACCGAGAGCTCCACAGGTGCCGCTGAAGACGTGTAATAAATATCGCAAGTTAATGTACATGTTTAGCTTTCTCTCTAGTGAGCATGGCAAAGAGGACGGTGAAGGTTGTGGTGGCGGCTGTGGCTTATGTGGTGGCGGTGACGGCAGTGTCACGAGAGTTGCCGCTGTGACATTCAAGCCACGTCGGGGGGACTCGCTGGTCATGCCAGGTCCTCCATTTCCACGTGTCCAGCAACACTATACCGTCTTGTCACCTGTCTTGTTTTTTTATCACCGTCGCACAGCTTGAGAGACACATTGAGTGGGTACACCTGAACACAGTCCACACGAGAAGTCCGGGAGGCGGTGGAACGCTAGAGGACCACCAACCTCACATAATTTTGTGTTGTTATTATTTTACCGCCTGAGTGCACAGATAAAGCCACCAGCGGCCCCTAGAGTGCACGAGGAATGGTCCAGATGTCCCTTCATGACCCCAGGCCATCCCGGGGGCCGCTAAACATAGACTTTCACCACTCAACCAGAGAAAAAATCCCAATTCCCTGAGAACTGTACGAAGGAACTGAGGAAACATGTGACCCACCTGCTGAGGAGTGAGGGATCCTGAGAGGCTGTGAGGACACAATAAAGGACACTCCCGAGGACACACACGCGCGGGGCACTAAACACAAGGTTGGCGGGGAGTAGTAAGTATTATCCCGAGTGAGAGAGGTGGAGCGAGCGAGGCGGCGTCACTGAGCCATCTTACCCACTGGCAGGCTGGGCCGCGACTCACGCTGCCCCGCCACCACCACCAACCACCACCTCCCCACACCCGCCACCACTGCCACACGCCGCCACCCCACCACTCACACACACACACACACACGCACAAACACATACACATACATACACACACACACACACTCACACACAGACACACACACACACACACACACACACACACACACAGGTAGGAGGCACAGGCACTCTCAACGCGGGCACGTTCACTCACACGCACGCACGGGGCTTGAGATGACAACTGCATGCATGCACGAGAATTCATCTTGCGTGGGATCGTAAAGATGGATACAGTATATCAGGTGTGTGTTTAGTTCACACACACACACACACACACACACACACACACACACACACACCAGGGCGAATGATAACAATATTCAACATAAAACTATCTGTTGATTGTCACACTACGGTTAAAAAACATATTGGAGTAGGAGCGTAATTACGCCTATTTAAAAGCTGTAGAGACAAGTGTGTTCTGGTTACAGATGTGACTGTTGGTGAGTGTGGTGGTGGAGCGTGGTGGTGGTGGGTGGTGGTGAGGGTGGTGGTGGTGGGAGTGGAGGAGTGTGTGGTGGTGGAGTGTGGTGGTGAGTGTAGGGTGGTGGTGGTGGTGGTGGAGGGTGGTGGTGGTGGGAGGTGGTGGTGGAGTGTGGTGGTGGTGGTGGTGGTGGTGGAGGGTGGTGGTGGTGGGAGTGTGGTGGGTGGAGGTGGTGGTGGTGGTGGAGTGTGGTGGTGGTGGTGGTGGTGGTGGAGGGGTGGTGGTGGTGAGTGTGGTGGTGGAGGTGGTGGTGGTGGAGTGTGGTGGTGGTGAGTGTGGTGGTGGTGGTAGAGAGGTTGGTGATGGGTGAGAGGTTGGTGATCATGAGATCAACAACAAGGTAATGGTCGCTGGTCATTAGGGGTGAATTTAGCTGTGGTGGAGGGAGAAGACTCTCTCTCTTTCTCTCATATTTTCGCTGTTTATTTATTTTTATTCACTCATCAGTCTACCTGGAATATGTACCTGTCTTCTTCTTCTTCTTCTTCTTCTTCTTCTTCTTCTTCTTCTTCTTCTTCTTCTTCTTCTTCTTCTTCTTCTTCTTCTTCTTCTTCTTCTCCTCCTTATTGTTTTTCTTCTTCTTTGTTTCTGTTAATTTATTTCCTTTTACTTCTTATTTCCTCTTCCTTTTATTTGTATTTTTTCCTCTGTTCCCTTCTTATTTTCTTTATTTTCTCCTTTTCATCTCTCTTCTTAATCTTCTTTTTATTTTCCTTTGTTCGTCCTTTTCTTGTTCTCTCCATCTTTAGTCTTCCTCTTCTCTTTCTATTTTTCTTACCTCTACTTTGTGTGTGTGTGTGTGTGTGTGTGTGTGTGTTTATGTATGTTTGTTTGTATGTATGAATGTACGTGTTTGTATGTATGTATGTATGTATGTACGTGTGTGTATGTATGTAGTGTGTCTGTGTCTGTGTGTATGTTTATATATGTATGTTTGTATGTATGTATGTACGTGTGTGTTTGTATGTATGTATGTACGTGTGTGTATGTATGTAGCGTGTGTGTGTGTGTGTATTCCATTAGAATCATTACTAGAATAGATTTTAATACTAATTATCATTTAAGCTCAAATTATTATATATTTTATAATGATGCGTTAAAAAATAAATATAATTTCATGATTAGCGTAAAAAAATATTTATTCTTTTATAATCAGCAAAATTTTTATATTAGAGGTTTAAAGGTTCATATTGTGGGTTTAAAGGTTCATATTATGGGTTTAGGGGTCATATTAGAGGATTAAAGGTTCATATTGGAGGTTTAAAGGTTCGTATCAGGAGTTTAAGGAGTCATATTAGAGGTTTAAAGGTTCATATTATGGTTTTAAATGTTCATATCAGGGGTTTAAGGGTTCATATAAGAGGCTTAAAGGTTCATATTGTGGGTTTAAAAGTTCATATCAGGGGTTTAGGGGTCATATTGGAGGCTTAAAGGTTCATATTGTGGGTTTAAAGGTTAATATTATGGGTTTAGGGGTCATATTGGAGGCTTAAAGGTTCATATTGTGGGTTTAAAGGTTCATATCAGGGGTTTAGGGGTCATATTGGAGGCTTAAAGGTTCATATTGTGGGTTTAAAGGTTCATATCAGGGGTTTAGGGGTCATATTGGAGGCTTACAGGTTCATATTGTGGGTTTAGGTTTATGTTATTTGGTTTAAAGGTACATATCAGGGGTTTAGGGTCATATTATGGTTTTAAAATTTCAAATCAGGGGCGTAGGGTCATATTATGGGTTTAAAGGTTCATATCAGGGGTTTAAAGGTTCATATCAGGGGTTTAAAGGTTCATATCAGGGGTTTAAAGGTTCATATCAGGGGTTTAAGGACTCATCAAGAGCTCTAGGCTTGTTGCGATATTATTTTCACTTTCTTTGTGCCTTTGTGTATGTAGATGTTAGTAATGTGTGTGTGTGTGTGTGTGTGTGTGTGTGTGTGTGTAAAAATTCAAGTCGGTAATTCTTGCATTTAAAACTTCTTTATACCTATTACGAAAAGAAAAAAATAACTAACCCGTATCGTCGGCTAGACAATGTTCTCAGCCTTGTCGTTCGTGGAAGGCCAGAATTAATCCTCAGCAAGCAGAGCAAAGCAGGTGAAAGGACCCCAAGCCCTGTGACGTCACGAATATAAACAACTTTCTCTTAATCAAACCCACAGTGCGATGAGCTGCAGTTTTTGTTTAAAGTCGTTGTGTTGGAGGGTGGTGAGCTGACCTGCCTATCACTGTTGGTGGTGTTGGAGGGTGGTGAGCTGACTTGCCTATCACTGTTGGTGGTGTTGGAGGGTGATGAGCTGACTTGCCTATCACTGTTGGTGTTGGAGGGTGGTGAGCTGACCTACCTATCACTGTTGGTGGTGTTGGAGGGTGGTGAGCTGACCTGCCTATCACTGTTGGTGTTACAGAGTGATGAGGCTGACTGCATATCACTGTTGGTGTTGGAGGTGATGAGCTGACCTGCCTATCACTGTTGGTGTTGGAGGTGATGAGCCTGACCTGCCTATCACTGTTGGTGGTGTTGGAGGTGGTAGGCTGACCTGCCTATCACTGTTGGTGGTGTTGGAGGTGGTGAGCTGACCTGCCTATCACTGTTGGTGGTGTTGGAGGGTGATGAGCGGCCTGCTATCACTGTTGGTGTTGGAGGGTGATGGAAGGCTGAACCTGCCTATCACTGTTGGTGGTGTTGGAGGGTGGTGGTGACCTGCCTATCACTGTTGGTGGTGTTGGAGGGGTGATGAGCTGACACCTGCCTGTCACTGTTGGTGTTGGAGGGTGGTGAGTTGACCTGCCTATCACTGTTGGCGTTGGAGGGTGGTGAGCTGACCTGCCTATCACTGTTGGTGTTGGAGGGTGGTGAGCTGACCTGCCTATCACTGTTGGTGTTGGAGGGTGGTGAGCTGGCCTGCTATCACTGTTGTTGTTGGAGGTGGTGAGCTGACCTGCTATCACTGTGTTGGTGTTGGAGGTGGTGAGCTGACCTGCCTATCACTGTTGGCTGGTGATGTTGGAGGGTGATGAGCTGACCCCACTTTTATCACTGTTGGTGTTGGAGGGTGATGAGCTGACCTGCTTATCACTGTTGGTGGTGTGGAGGTGGTGAGAGCTGACCTGCCTATCACTGATGGTGGTGTTGGAGGTGCTGAGCTGACCTGCCTATCACTGTGTTGGTGTTGGAGGTGGTGAGTTGACCTGCCTATCACTGTTGGCGTTGGAGGGTGGTGAGCTGACCTGCCTATCACTGTTGGTGTTGGAGGGTGGTGAGCTGACCTGCCTATCACTGTTGGTGTTGGAGGGTGGTGAGCTGACCTACCTATCACTGTTGGTGTTGGAGGGTGGTGAGCTGAACTACTTATCACGGTTGGCGTTGGAGGGCCATAGTGAGCTGACCTACCTATCACTGTTGGCGTTGGAGGGCCATAGTGAGCTGACCTACCTATCACTGTTGGCGTTGGAGGGCCACAGTGAGCTGACCTACCTATCACTGTTGGCGTTGGAGGGCCATAGTGAGCTGACCTACCTATCACTGTTGGCGTTGGAGGGCCATATAGAGCTGACCTACCTATCACTGAGCATTAGTCAAGGGTCTATATACTTAACATCAGCATTTTATCTGTACCGTCGCTTTAGTTTGAACAAGAGAGAGTAGTTCTGAATGTACGTCGCTGTTTTGAATATAGTCCAGATGGAAATAGCAAACTTAGATGATGGTTTAAAAAGAAGAATACGATTATTATTTTTTATAGAAACAATAAATAATAATCAAATAATTAAATACACGAAGAAGATAATTAACACCATAAAGAATTGGTTTAATACCTGTGTTGTGGGTGTTAAGTGTGACGTGGGAACTGTACTGTGTGTTAAGTGTGACGTGGGAACTGTACTGTGTGTTAAGTGTGACGTGGGAACTGTACTGTGTGTTAAGTGTGACGTGGGAACTGTACTGTGTGTTAAGTGTGACGTGGGAACTGTACTGTGTGCTAAGTGTGACGTGGGAACTGTACTGTGTGTTAAGTGTGACGTGGGAACTGTACTGTGTGTTAAGTGTGACGTGGGAACTGTACTGTGTGTTAAGTGTGACGTGGGAACTGTACTGTGTGTTAAGTGTGATGTGGGAACTGTACTGTGTGTTAAGTGTGACGTGGGAACTGTACTTTGGTGTGCAAGTGTGACGTGGGAACTGTACTGTGTGTTAAGTGTGATGGGAACTGTACTGTGTGTGTTAAGTGTAAGGTGGGAACTGTACTGAGTGTTAAGTGTGACGTGGGAACTGTACTGTGTGTTAAGTGTGACGTGGGAACTGTACTGTGTGTTAAGTGTAACGTGGGAACTGTACTGTGTGTTAAGTGTTACGTGAGAACTGTACTGTGTGTTAAGTGTGACGTGGGACCTGTACTATGTGTTAAGTGTGACGTGGGAGCTGTACTGCGTGTTAAGTGTGACGTGGGAACTGTACTGTGTGTTAAGTGTG